TGAATATACATGCACATATTCTCAACAAAATATTAGCAAATTATAATATATAAAAAGGATTATGTGACCGATTTGGATTCTAGGAATCAAGGTTTGTTTAATTAAAAAATTCAGTTTAGGGCCGGTTTAGCTCAGTGGTTCTGCGGCCTGGCTGGAAAGTTCAAGGTCCCGTGTTCAATCCCCAGTACCCACCCCCTCAAAATCAGTTTATATAATATATTAACAGAATAAATCAAAAATGATATTATCCTTTCACTGTATGCAGAATAAGCATTTGACAAAATCTAACACTTTTTACAATAAAAGAAAAAAACCTAAATAAACTAGAAATAGTCTGCAATCTCTTCAGTCTGCTAAAGGTTACCCTCAAAAACCACACAGCTACCATCACACTTAATGATGGAGACTGAAAAATTATCCCTAAAATCAGACACAAAACAAAGTTACCAAAATTTGCCATTTCAATTTAATATTTTACTGGAAATTCCAACTATAGTTATTAGGAGAGAAAAAAGAACTAAAAAAGAAGCCAGATTGGAAAAGAATTAAAACTGTGTCTATTTGTGGATGACATAGTCTTGTATATAGAAAACCTTATGGAATTTACTAATACTACGAGAACTAATAAACAAATTTAGCAAATTTTTAGGATAGATGTTAATATATAAAATTTTACTAGCAATGAATGAAATTAAGGAAACATTTTCATTTATAATAGAATTTAAAAAAATAAGAACAAATTTAACAAAAGAAGCATAAGACTTGTACATTAAAAAGTACACAACTTTGTTAAAAGAAACTGAATTAAAGACTAAATAAATGGAAAGACATTCCATGTTCATAGATCAGAACACTTACATTGTTAAAATGGCAACACTACTTCAGTTGATCGACACAATTAGTGCAACTAACTATTGAAATCTAGGCTCTTTATTTATTTATTCTTTGCTGAAATTGACAAGCTATGCTAAAATTTATATGGAAATATGTGTCCCCTCAAGTACCACAAATAATCTTGAAACAAAAAACAAACTTGGAGAATGCATACTTTCTGATTTTGAAACTTAACACAATGCTACAGTATCAAGACTATTAATAGCATATATATATGCACACAAATCAATAGAATAGAATTAATAGTCCAAAGATAAGCTCTTCCATTTATGGTCAATTAAATTTTGACAAGACTTCTCAGATAATTCATTTGTAACAATAATCTTTTCAACAAACGGTAAAACTGGATATCCACATGCCAAAGGACAAAATTGGAGTTCTTCTTTATACCATATATAAACTTTAACTGAACATGAATTATAGACCTAAATGTAATAGCTAAAAAGACATCTCTTAGAGGAAAACACAGAATAGCAAATCTTTGTAACCTTGAGATAGGCAATGGTTTGTAAAATACAATATCAAAGCACAACTGACTAAAGGAAAAAAAATAAAGTAAATTTCAAAAATGTTAAAAACTTTTCTGCTTAAAAAAGTGAACAGAAACCCCACAGAGGGAGAAAATATTTGTGGATCATATATAAAAGGAACCTGTATCCAGAAGATATAAAGAACTCCTACAACTCAAAAAAAAAAAGAGACTAATACCCCAATTAAAATATGGGCAAAAGATATGAATACATATTTCTCCGAAGAAGATGTATAAATGTCCAATAAGCACATGGAAAAGTTGCTCAACATCATTTGGGAAGTCCAGATGCAAACTACAATGAGCTGCCACTTCATACCCTCTATGGTATGGTAGCTATAATTACAAGATAGACAATAACAAGTGTTGATGAAGCTACAGAAAAATTCATACCTATTACTGGTATGAATGTTAAATGGTGCAGCTGTTTTAGAAAACAGTTTAGCATTTTCTCAAAAAATTAAACAAAGTTATTATCTAATACAACAATTCTATTCAAGGTGTATACTCAAGAGAACTGAAAATACATATCTACACAAAAACTTGTAAGTGAATGGTCATAGCAATATTATTCATGAAAATCAAGAAATGAGATAGCTCATCAGTCTATCAACTGATGGATGGATAAATACAACATGGAATAGCCATATAATGGAATATGTCTAGCCATAAGAAAGAATGAATTTCTCATACATGTTACACCATGGATAAACTTTGGAAATGCTGAAGGAAACCAGTCACAGAAGAGTGCATATGATACGATTTCATGTATATGAAATTTTTAGAATAAGCAAATATTAGAGCTAGAAAGTAAATTGGTGGTTGACCAGGGCTGGGTGGATGGTAGGATGCTATAGTGATCTTACTAATGTATATAGGCTTTCTTTTTAGGGAAACAAAAGGTTTCTAAGAATGAGGTAATGGTTTTATGGCCTTGTGAATATAATGAAACATTTAGAGTTGCACTTGATCTAAACCAAAAGGCCAAGAAGTGATGAAAACATTTAGAATTGTAAACTTCATTTTCTTTTTGAGATAGACTCTTACTCTTTTACCAGGCTGTCACAAGCTATTGGCCCAGATGGATTGTATACTTTAAATGAGCACAAATTCTATGGTTTGTGAGTTATATCTCAGTGAGTCTGTTGAAAAATTGTTACCCCTAAGAACTAACTAGCTTTGGGAGGGATAGTATCTCCTCAGTTAGCAAGGTCACTAACATCAGTGGATTAAGAATGCAGAGAATAAGAAAGTCTAGTCAATATAATTGGCCCTATAATGCATGGATGCTAAAGAGACACATACAGAATCCAAGACAATAATGGAAACTAAATCTCTACTCCCCTTTCAGTGTTGGGATGAAACACAATCCCTCAGGCATGCTACACAATTGCTGGACCACTGAGCTATTTCTCTAGCCCTATAAATCCTTATTCTTTGTATTAGGAAATAAAAATGATCTAAAATGGATAAATTTAGAAATGGTGACAATATATTATTAATATGAAAGGGAAAAGTAAGTCAAGTGGACTAAATTCAGAAACGGACAGGGCCGAGGATTTAGCTCTGTGGTTCCTCTGCCTGCCCCACAAGCGCAAGGACCTGAGTTTGACCCCCAGTACCAAAATAAAAAAAAAGGTCAAAAGCTTAGTGTCTGGGAGGAGGAACTTGGCGTGAGAAAGGCTGCAGATGGGGACAGTTGTTTTTTATCTTAAGCTTTACTTATTGATTCTTTAAAAATACATAAGCAGGTGTTATTTGAATTTTCAAGAGTATGAATACATTCAGTCAGTGAATAATAATTTTTTTTTGGTAATGAATAATAATTCTTTCATTATATAACTCCTATTCATTCTTTAGGGACAAGCTAGCCTCATCTCACCTGCTCCAACATATAAGGCATATTTCCCTTTTGCTACAAAAAGAGTAAAAGACTGACGCTCATGGAGTTGTATTACATGGTCTGTATTCTTACCTAGAAAGAGTTATTTTATAAAACCGTATCAGTGTTTTATTTAACTTTGAAAAATATAGAATACTAGTTTTATAGTTTTGATTAGTCATTCATGTGTATTCTTTCATCAACTACCGGTCAAAAGTATTAAGAACATTTCCAGTTCATATTAAACATGGACAGATGTTTTGTTGTTGCAGATCCTGAAACAACCATTTACATTGAGTTAGGTATTATCAGTAATCTGGAGATGATTTAAAACATGCGGAAGGATGTGTATGGTTTATGTAATATTATGACATTTTATATAACCTGAAGTTTTTGATTTCTGTGAGGGATCCTGGAATCATTCCCTACAGATATTGAGGAACAACTGGATATATATTCACTGAGGGCCCATCACATGAAAGAGGCACAGTGCTAGGATCTGGGGATACTGTGGTGAAAAAGATATAAGATTCCTAAGGAATCCTCATGCACAGGAAGACATAAAAGTCAGTGGACAATGACACTGTGGAAATCATATAGGATGCTCTGGAAGTACATGGAAGGGGTGCCTTGTTCCTTTGGGAGTCAAGCAGGGTTTCCTGACATGGTAACATTGAAGTCAGTATCTGTGGGATGAGTAGAGGCAGAAAGGAAACTTTGGGAGAATGAAATGTAATTAAGTCTGATGGCAAAGTGTACAGTGGGAAAGAAGGAGTTGAAAAGTGTAGGAAGACTGACAGGCCCCTAAAGATGTCCATGACCTAATATCTGCAGCCCATGTATATATTTCTTTACATGGCAAAGAAGGCCTTACAAATGTGATTAAATTAGGAATTTTGAGATTCAGACATTATTCTGGATTATCTGGGTGGGCCTGATGTAATTGTAAGAATCCTTATTAAGAGACCCATTTGTGACTGCCGACCCTCAGAAGTGTAAGGTAATAGATGTGTAGTCTTTTTTACTTTTTATTTTTTTCAGTTTTTATTTTTTATTAGTACATGTTTGCAGTACATAATGATTACATCACTTACGGGGAGCTGATACATGTACATAATGCATCTTACATCTTTTTATCATTCCCTCCCCACACTTGCCTCCCTCCTTCTCTCCTTCCCTCCCTCCTTTCTTCCCTCTTCCTTCCCTCTATCTCTTGGTCCCCTCTCATTTGTTTTAAGCCTCCCAGCCTGTGGTCATTTGTTACAGCAGTAATAGGAAACTAATAATGGAAAGTAAGCAGGAGAAATTGGTTGGGAGACTGGAGTCCCCAATACAAAGTTCACTGTATACCATTTTAAGGGTTTCAGACTTTGAAGGCAACAGGAGTCCATGACAGGACCATACTTGTATTTCAGAAAAATTGGCAGGACTGTGATGAGGGAGATGGGTGGGGGGCGTGTTGGGGACAAGGCCCCTTCACGAATCTGCTGCTGTATATTCTGCCTCATATAGCACAGAATGGTCCTTTCTCTCTCGGGTGGCTGATTCCCTAGTTTTGCTTCAGCAATCACTCTGAATTCTGTACGGTTTACAAATATTGAGTATTGCATTAGGAACCTTTAATCTGGAAAAGAGAAATCAAAAGACCCAAAGAATGAAAGTGCAGTCTTAGCTCCAAGAGGAATCTTTTCTCACCTTGAGTTTCCACATCCTTCAGTGGGTCTACCCCTGGAGACAGGATAAAAAACATGGGAGTGGCTGGTCCTGATTCTTCAAATGAGGATGCAAAATCTAGTGGTCTCCCCACTACATATTTGCTTCCTAACTTCTCCTCAATAAAATCTCTGCCAAAAAGAAAGTACATATATGTGTATTATTCATAAAATAATACTTGAGAAATGAAGGCCTCTAGAAATGAAAGAAGGTGCTCAAGTTCATGGGTTAGACACAGAACATACAGTCACAGAGGTAGGATGGGCTCCAAGTTTACAACTTGTCAGGTCAGTACTTAGAGCCTCTGATGCTCCCCTAGACCAGCCCTCCTTCTGAACCACTGTCCACTTTGGTCATTGCTGACTCTTGTGGAGTCTGGTGCCCTCTCATATCACCCACCCATCAGGAGACCACTGGGACCGGTGCTTTTGAAATGCTCATAGGCAGCTAAATTTATCATACTCTGTGTCCCATCTGCAAGATTAAAGGCCTATAGGACTTTAGTCTCTCCAGTTCTGTGAGTCTCTGTGTTTACTTTCATCTCACTCCATTTAGCAATGATCCCTTCCAGAGTGGCCCATTTGGTGTTAAACAAATCCTCAACTGCAGCTACTTATTTATTGAATGTCTGGTCCAACTCCTGACCATCGCTGAGACTACCACTATCTACCAGGACACTATGTTCCTTGTAGTCTTCTCAGCTGTGCCTGATGTACTTTCAGAATGGGCAGTGGTCAGAACTCTGTTTCCTGTAAAATGCTGTTTTCAAGCCATTACCTCTCCAGTCTTTGGCTCTGTTGAGGCTTATTTCCCATAATTGTACCACCACTACCCTAGTACATCAATGCCATCTGTTGCTCCATTGATCACTCTTCTCATTCACTGAACACTTGGGCACTTGGCTCATGGATGTCTTCTCCTCTAGCCTTGGTGACATTAACACCTACATGGATAATCTTGTAGATTCTTAGTGCCTTCAACTCAAGTAATCATCATTTCTTCTCCCCTTCAGCCACCTGATTACATGGCCACATCTTCATGGTTATCATTACCTGGGAGCTTATTCTATCAGGAACAGTAAGTAGAAACATCCTATTCTGTAAGCAGAACCTACTATCCTTACATTTCTTTTGATGATGTATCTTTGCTTCATCTTCCCCATATTAGTATCACTACAAGTGCACTGGAATCTCAATATCTTAGCTTGTCTATTTTTCTATTATTCTCTTAATTTCTTTACCTCTTTCCTATCAAATGTAGACTCCATGGTCTATAATTTATTTTAAAAAATAACTTTTTAGGCATAGTCAATAGAGTGCATGGTTCACCCCCTCAAATGTACTATTCAGTGATTTTTAATGAGCTCACAAGTTGTACATTTTTCACTGTAATCTAGTATTAGGATATTTTCATCACAGCAGTGAGATCCCTTATAATGCAGTTAATTCCTACTCCCAACCCCTAGTTCTAAGCAACCACTGATCTGGTTTCTGCCTCTATACATTGCATGGCCTGTGACTTCTAATCATTTTCTTGACAACATCCTCATGACCCTTGCTCAGCTCTTACTCCAACACACCAATATGAAATGACTCTGGCTCAAGGTAACTGTCAATCAACATTTGGTCTTCTGATGAAGATCATCCAGTGGTGAAGACCAGAGCCACGGATGCAGGATCCTAAATAAGGGGCCCCTCAATTCTACCTGGAATCCTTTGAGCTTCCTTGGTCAGCTTTCTCTTTCACTTTTCACACTTTTTCAAACTTCCACTCTTCAAATATTAAATCCTGCCACCCTCTTTCATACAAACTCTATCGATCATCTTTCTATTTTTCAGAGCAACTAGGAGTCAGCAGACAAAAATCTTCCTCAATTTTCTGCCATTCATTTATCATTTTACTTACAGCCACTATCAACAGTTTATCCTTTTTTTGTGATGAAAGAGATGTTCTCCCTGTAAAGGATGAAAATTCCATTGGTTCTGTGGGTCCTATCATCTTCTACCATATTAGATGTGATCAGCACCCTTTTCAATGCTGATATTGATTAGCATCTCTTTCCAAATTGTCCGCTAAGATATTAAGAAAATCTATGGCATATACAGAGTAACTGGCCTCCTGGGATTTTGAATGTTGGTACAAAGGTTCTCATTACTAGCCTTGCCAATCTGGCCATCCTAAGGTTGTCCCTACTGCAGGCCTGTCCAGGGCCTCCCACCACCTCCTGCTCCCTACCGCATGGCGTAGGTCATCCGGTCAGGACGCATGGCCCTCATCATGCAGAGGCGCTGCAGGGCTGTCTTGTTCTTCCACTCCTGGGGGAACTTCTCCTTTTCAGGACACTCTGACTCCACGAACTTTTTCCAGCTTTTGGCAGATCCCTCAATGTCCCGATCCAGGTTACAGAATTCTTCCATTGATGAAAGTGCCTGGGAAATTTCAAAGAGTCTTGTACTGAAATGCAATTTCTCTAGAAAGCTAAAATTTGCACTGCATTGGGGGTCAACAGGCAAGTACAGTTATATACACAATTGTGCCTCACTTATAGTCTGGTCTGGAGGGTTTGAGCTTCCTCCAGAAAACATCACAGAAGAGGGAGGATACTGATCAATTCATTCTCAGCAAACTACCTCCAATAATGTGCAAGGTTTATCAAATAAATTGTTTGAGATGTTATAAGCAGCACATACTAAGCCACATCCACCTGCATGATATCACACAGGAAAGAGGGACAGAAGGGGACAATGCTTATTTTGGCTATGAAGTCTGAACATCTAAATCATAGGCTTCTTCCTTATGTCCTCACATTCACTCTTCCACCAAATTCAGTCCTTTTAGCTCTCAAGGTGTCTCTAGAATCACTGGCTTTGTATTAATGTCAACTCTTAAAATTTCCCCCAGTTGCCTATTTCTATAAGGATGAAGTCTAAATGCATTACTTGGTAATAATCAGATCTCTTCATTTGGTGCCTTCCTCCAGTATTTCAGGTGTCCTGCAATGTCCCCAACCGTATTATTATTATTTGATTTTTTGGTTTTTCAGACAGGGTCTCACTACATAGTTCAGACTGGCCTTGAACTGACTATGTAGGCCAGGCTGGCCTTGAACTCATGGTGATCCTTCTGCTCAGCCTCCTGAGTGCTGAGATAACAGGTGTGTGCCACCATGCCTGGCTCTTGCCCCCAACTTTAGAAACGGTCTGACTCATTTCCTTGTTCACATTATTTCCACCTTATGTAAGCCCTGGTATCTTCACTAAACTTTAGTCCTTCCTTTTTAAGCTTAAGAATTTAAACTTTCAAACTAAAAGGACTAAACTTTCTAGTCCTTGTGCTAGTCATGCTTATTATTAGTTAAGGCTCTGTAAGTTGTCAAGCCCAGTTCAAAGTCAGCAGCCTCCCTGAAAGTGTAAACAAGGACTCCAAGGTATAATGGATAGTGTGAAATGGGAAGAAAAGGGGCAAAGGGGAAGGGGAAGTGGGAGGGGTAGGGGAAAGGAAAGAAGGGAATGGAATTAGTGTGAGAAAATGAAAAAATGGAAACAAAGTCTTTGTAAATAGGGAGGGATGGAGGGGTTGAAAAGTCTTGGTAAATGGGGAAGGGTGGAGGGGGTGAAGGGAGGGCAAGGAATGGGGAAAAAATGAGAACCAGGATACGTCATATAAAGGTACAAGTTCCCAATGATAAACATAAATGTATTGCATACCTAAAATATACCAATAAAAGAATTTAAGAAAAAAAAAACAAAGGGAAAAAGATGTACCAATAATATTCCTTTTTTTAAAAAAGCAAGCAGCTATAAATCAGTTGCTCAAGAAAAAAAATAATGGAAGAACAATGAGTCATTAAGTCTATATGAGTGATGGTGATGTGGGCACTCTGGAGAAGCAGGGTAAACCCCATCCACACAAAATTTGGTCCCAATGTCAAGACTGAGGATGTTGCACATAAGAAGATATGAAAAGTATTGCTCTGAGAATGAGGCCTTCTGGGGAGAGCAAGGAAATTCCCAAGCAATCTGAAAAGATCTTGAAAGAGCCAGAAAGGAGACTGCCTTCAGGTTTTTATGGTAGTTAAAGGTGGGTGAGGGCACCTGTGCGTGGGCTTACCTGGTACAACTTCCCTCCAACATCTCAGGAAGGTGTTCTTACCAGCTTGCCCAGAGATGGGGTAGAAGAGGAAGAAGGCGAGATAAGAATTAAAAGCTATCAGAAATCAAATATCTAAAAACTGAGTGGTTGTTTGTTAAGAGATTTCAACTTGTGAGTAGCTGTAAGTGCTCCACAAAGGGTGAAAATACTGGGTTCTTGGTTGCAGATGTGACTGAGGGAGGTTGTATACCTAAAATGTACCAATAAAAGAATTTAAGGAAAACAAAAACAAAACCAAAAAACCCCACAGATGTGTGTCCTATTTATTTCACTTAAGAATATGGCCTCAATGTGCATCCACTTAGCTATAAATGTCTCTAATTTCTCATTTCTATGGCTGAGTAGTACTCCATTTTATAAAAAGCCATATTTTCTTTATTCAGTCTCCAGTTGATGGGCAATTGGGCTGCTTCCAAGTTTGAGCTATTACAAATTGTGCTGCTATGAACATGGGTGTACATATATCACTGTGGTATGATTCTTTTAATTCTTTGGGCCCAGCAGGGGAACAGCTGGGTCAAATGGGACTTTCAGTCCTAGTTCTTTTGTTTTGTTTTTTGGGATTTTTTTTTGGTACCAGGGATCAAACTAGGGTCCTTGTGCTTGCGCAGGCGGCGAAACTACTGAGCTAAATTCCCGGCCCTAGGCCTAGTTCTTTGAGGTATCGCCATACTGATTTCTACAGTGGTTGCAGCAGTCTACCCTCCCACCAGCAGTGGAGCAGGGTTCCTCTTTCCCCACAACCCCCCAGGATGTGTTATTGGTTGATTTCATGACAGCAGCCATTCTTTCTGGGGTGAGGTGGAATCTCAGCATTGTTTTCATTTGCTTCTCTCAAATGACCAGTGATGTTGAACATTTTTCATATGTTTATCTGCTATTTCTACTTCTTTGAGAAATGTCTGTTCATTTCAGATGCCCATTTTTGGATTGGGTCTTTAAATTTGGGAGGTCTGATTTTTTTAAAGTGCTTTATAGA